GAATAGGGAGGTGTGACGTAAAGAGGGGACACAAACGCAGGTGCTTATCTCTAGGCAGTCAAAGGCACTGGATGTCATATCATGGGAACTACCTTTCAAAGACACAGCTTTAGTGCACAGTTCAGCACACAAGGGAGGAGAAACATATAAGTTTTGGAAACAAAAATAAAGTAAGTTTAACAACTTTTTCACACTATTCTGAACCCATTGATGTTTAAGCAACTTGTACTATTAGTAACTCTCTGTCTTTTCTATTATTTGTGCTTTTATTTTGCAAAAAGTAAAAAAGTCTGTCCATATATAAATGTTGAAAGCTTGAGAGATTTGTAATAAGAAGTTTGAGGGGTTTTAATTAATGTTTTAAATGCTTTCTGCAAACTTTTGTTTTTGTTTAAATGACACTAATGCTGTTTCTTCCACAAAGTATGCTTGGTCATTATCTTATATGTTATTTTGGGCCTCATTTAAAAAAGAGCTACTTTTAACTGCTTTGAGAAAGCTTTCTGAATAAAATGTCATGGTGTAATTGCATTTATACTGCCTCAGTAAAGCCTTTGTTCATATACATTTTAGAATTGTGCAAATTTGCAGCTCTAGTTATTCGATTTGAGGAAATTATCACAAAGACACTTTTTCTCTCATTTTGAAAAGTTACTGAACTTAAATACTGCCATTGAAAAAAAAGAGGTGGGAAAAAAAACAAGACAGGAGAGGGAGAGAGTGGGATCAGTGTATTTGTAGGAACTGTTTGATAGGTGCATATTCACTTGCAGTTATGTATTACGCACCAAAGAGCTTTCTCATGATCTTTTAGAATGCTTTAAAATAATGAGTAATGTTTTTGAAATGAAAATTTTTAATGAATATATTTAATAGTATTACTCTAAGTGAAAAGGGGTCTTTCAAAATGTGACATTTCTGTGCTTTAAATTATTTGGGATTCGGAGAGTGAACTGAGAGCTTCTGATTAAAAAAGCGAATACTGTACTTTAGAATGAATGTCTGTGTCAGGAAAATCTTTAGAAAGTTAAATGACAGTAATATCAGGCAAGGTTGAAGAATGAAACGGACCTTCTGGGACAACATTTTGCAGGAGGATGATTTTTATGAAATAGCATTTGATGCTAGAGAAAGTCTGTTTAACACTCTGATCAGCAAAGCTCTCTCTAACTCTCTGACTTTCTTTTGTCTTTAACAAAACACTTAGTTCAGATGTTTGTCTTCCTTCATATGTAAATAGCAAGACAATCTTCTGCAAGGTGCTGTGAATATTTCATTTAATAGATTATAAAAGCATGAGTCCCAGATTTTATCCTTAAACTGTATGGGGTGAACTTTGTCAGTTAAAGATCTTTTTGGTATTCAAACCAACCATTTATTATCTCTTTTGTCAATTAAATTAGTTAAGTTAATTGCGTAGATGTGTCTTCTTTGGTTTGGCTGTGCAATTGTTTTGTAATTCTTAGGGAAAATTACAGCATTTGTGATGAAAGCTTTCTCTGAGACAATAATATATTTCTGCTATAAGGTGGATAACAGTTAATCCAGATTCAGAATGAGAAATTTCTAAATATAGGCTTTACCTCTTAACTTCCCAGTTTGGAGCATTTTATTTTAACTTGTAAATATCATTTGCGTATTATAGTACTTTCATGCCTGCAGGCTAAGATTACCAGTCTTCCTTTTTTCCTCCTCCTTCTAAATATTCAATTACTCAATGGTAATTATTATTATGTGGCCTTCTTGGCTTACTGCATTATTAGATTAATATAGATTTCTTGTGCCAAATTAGCGGAAATCACTGTTATACAGAACAACGCATCACTTTTTTTTTTGTTTGTTTTATTTACTTTGTTAAATAACAGGAAGACTTTGACATCATGAGCTTTTATTCTTAGGACTTTTAATATAATATGTCTTTGAAAGCTGAGTGGAAGAAGTCACATTTTTGTTTTGCTCTTTTTAGATTTCCAATAAGTAGAAAGTTGTGTTAAATTATAATTAATTCATCCAAAGATCTATAAATAGGTACTTTTGTGAATGAAATTACAGTTAAAGTCCCCTGATCTCTGGTTATTGTTTCAGAGGTGTGTAGCAGAGGTAAGAAAATTGAAAATGAAAGAAAAGGAGCTGTCCAGGGTACTGCAGCTGGTTAGTCTTTCCTCTTACTGTACAGATTTTTTTTTTTTACTGAAGTGATCACAAAACCGCCCCCATTTCTTACTCCCCACCCTCCCCCCCCAAACAAAAAACAAACATAAAACCAACCCAAACAAAAAAAACCCCAACTTTATAAACCTTATATTGAAGTTAACTATGAAAAAATATGTGCATGAGAAACATTTCAGGAGAAAGTCATGTTTCTGTGAATAGCAAATATATACTTAGATCACAATAACTTTCACAAATTACTTATTAAACATATTTTTTCAATGCAAAGGTTTTTGTCAAAGTTACAGACAACAAAACTTTTCCAGTCTAAATTAATCTTTGAGTATAACACAAATGGTTTCTATGGTAGTGTTGTAATGTAAACAAAACAAACAAACAAAAAAAACCCAGATCCCAATCTTGTATTACTTGATTGCTTTTGAAACGAATTCTTGTCCTTATGTGACCTGAAATGTGTGGTTACAAAGCTATAGAAATCCAAACGATCATATTTGTTTGATATGAAATGAAAAAAAATAGTTAAATTGAAAGTTTAACATCATGAAATTCAAAATCCCAAGCGGTATATAAACATTAAAAGAAACTTTGGACTGCTAATCCTAGGAAATGAGTTTTATGGATTGAATTCAACAAGGCTTCAGAAATGGTTCCATCTGCTGCCTAGCAGCTGGTGAAAGGATAAATTTAATTCATTAATTCATTTGGAAAAAAGGATCCAAGTAGTAAAGACTTCATTGCTCATAATGCACATAGGTGGAAATCAAAACTGAAATTAGGTCCAGTTGATCATCTTTGATAATGAGGAACATTTTCTTTGTTATTGTTATTGTTATAATGATCTTGATCAGATAGTTGACAATACATTGAGTATATTCTGTTAACCAGTGTTTTTATGTCTCAAAAACTTGAGAACAATGAAAGCATAACTCCTCTTTCCGGAGGAACATCCCTACTTTGGGAGTTACAGATTACGTAGGTTTAAAAAGCTGGAATGTTTCACTGAAACAATATTGCTGTCTTTATATGCATATTTACAACTTCTTTCCTATTAAGTCGGTTTAAGAATACGAATAAAGCACCATTAAAATTATAAAATAATCTTATTCACCATTGAGTCACTGTTGTAGTCCAAAACCAGAATGTCAAATGCAAAGAGTTTACTACTTTCATTTACTTTTCTATTAGAGTCACAAGCTTAATCTTTTCTTTACTGTCTTCACGTATTCTTTTTTCATAAGTGCTAAAAACTTGTACAAGAGTAAGAAGGAAAAATGTAAGTTAAGGACTGAGAAATGGCAATATTCAAATATCCAGAATTTCAAAAGCAAAATTAATTGGACAAATGTTTCAATAATAAATTGACATTTAAGTTGTAGATATAAAGTTGTCCAAAGTATCACAACCTCCAGATACAGTTAGTTGTTTCTTTTTTTCTTAAAGTAGTTGCCTCTACTTCTTTTAATTTGAATCACAAGCAGTGAGTGTAAAGTTATCTAAGGCTTTTGAACCCTGAGATGGTCAAGTGGCAAGGGCTTTTATTCACCTTATACCAGGCACACAGGTAAACGTGCCTCTCATTACTTGCTGAGGGATACTCAAGACTGATGAACCTGTTATCCTGAAACCAATTAAATATCTGCCAATGCCTATTTTCAATGTTCTGCTTGAGGTGGTGATTTCATTAATGATATTTGGCTTTTCCTGTTTCCTCTGTAGCCCATAGCTCGCTGTGGTGGGTTTGCTGGATTTACTATAAAGGTTCTGTTCGCACCCTGTGGGTTGGGTTAAGAATTAGGATTTATGCATTTACTTCTACTGTTGCATTGTTTATACAGCTTTGGTTTAGTTTTGATCCCTTTTTTTTTGCCTTTGAGGCTCTTCCACAGTGTCAGCTGCTGACAGATAGTAGGAGAACGGCCTCGTGGTGTGAATGAAAGGGACCTAGCGGTTGGTAAACAGAGATAAGGAATAAATAGAGCACAGGCAAAAGGAGATAGTTCTGTGGGAGCCCAGATTGCCGCCAGTCTGTTCAAGTGAGATGCAGTGCCTGTCCTTTTCCCAGATTAAATTAGTGTGCGAAATCTCCAGTGACCTCCTCCCCTTCTCCCCATACTCTTTAGCCAAGCTGAACAGCCTCTGCTGTAAAGTATTCATTTTATCCAGGGACAAGTTGGACAATAGAACTCTCCCTGTTACTTATGGACAGCTGTCGTGATTCATAGGGCTTTTCAGCATTTCATTTTTCATAAGAGTTAAAAGGGTTTTACCTTTTAACTGACGAGAGGTTAGAAATGCAAAGACACCAGCCCTGAGGTTGCCTATGGTAAGGAAGTTAATAAATAAATATCACCCCCCCACACATATGCACATATACCCTCCCCAGTGTGCAAAAGGCTGTGTATTTTGTTAGTGCTTTTTTTTCTTACTTAAAGGGGTTTAATTGTGATAACATGATTACACTGAAGCATGACCTGCATGGAGAAATTAACAAGAAGAGACACAGCGATATGCAGGGCCCCCAAGATTCCCTAAATTAAAGGTGACCAGTGCAAACCTAGTGAGTGCCCTTTTCCCTTCTTTGCCCTTGCTTTTGCCTACATCTCCTGTTACTTTATTACCTGCAAATAACTCTCAGGAAAGAGTAAACCCTCATGAGATACCTCTGTGGTCCTGTATTTTTTTTTTAGTGATTTACTGCAAATATATTCAGCATTTTGACTGATTAAATAGACCTTCGGCAACCTTGAGGGTCACTGTGTGGAGTATGTACATAGAAAATGCATCAGCCCATTGTACCCTGGCAGCTAATGAGATTGGTCGTTAAGTAAATGACACAAAGCCTACAAAAAAAGCTTAGCAGCTCACTAGAGTATCACAGAGTGTCCCTGCACACCACACAACGACACAAACAGTGGACTAACCTAGCCCACCCCTGCTTTATTCTACATCACTGCTTCCCTGATGTCAGCGTGAGAGGCAGAACAAAGGCTAAAAGGCACACGGTAAGTCAGTCTGACAATTATGCCCTAGGGAGAAAGTAGAGCAAATCTTAGCCTAACCATGGGGTTGAAAGTCCGTTTCTAGACAAGTAGGTCATAATGAAGGGATTTTTTTTTCCCCCTGTCACTTCATGAAGGGGAGAAAAATGTCTCTGGAATCAAGGTTGGGTTTGCTTCTTGTTTGTTTGTTTCTTTTTCTCTCTCTGTCTGATGTGCCAGCTTACGAAAGTTTCTGGATTTCCAAAAGTAAGGTGAAACAGTGTATTTTGTGAACTGGATATTGTAATTATAGTTTAATGAAAGAAATATTCTTTGTAAGAACTGCCACACAATAAACACTGTCTCAGATATACAATAATGTCTGATGAACTTTACAGACAGAAAGTTTCTTTTTACTTCTCTGTAAAAATCTGCAGAAAATCTGTTACATATATGAATACACAGTTCAATCCACTAGCCAGCTACTTACACCCCTAAATACCTCGTACAGTTTTTACAACTATGCAGATAGTAATGAAGTTGCTACTATAATTTTGGAGTGCTTTTTAAAAGAGATTGTTACATTATTTTTTCTCTCAGTGTTGTCTTTTCCATGAGCTGAAGTTAAAGAATTGATTACTGTTAAACAGTTACATAGTCATTACCTATATTCTTTGCACAGCAGCAAAATATTCAGCTGATATTTTCGAATAGCAGGTGCCTGCTATATGAAAAATATTTTATATCAGTGTTTCAGTTTAGTATTTCAGGACCCTTTATTTTGCTGAAAAATGGCAACAGGAAGTTGCCAGAAAGTCTTGTTTGCATTGCTAAAATGTTTGTGCCTGCTTTGCACTTTGGAGGCTCAGGGGATGTTAGTTCAAAACATGATATTATTGCAAAATGCCTGTATGAACTAAGTAATGCTTCCCCACCTCCAATCACTGAAAACCATATGTTTTAAGAATGTTTTCTCAAATATAGACAGTTAAAGAAATGAGGTTTACACATCAGCCTGCATTACAGGGGTTTTTGTTTGGTTTTTTGTTCGGGTTTTTTTTTAAATTTATTTTGGAAGAGTTATTTAATTTGGGAAGACACTTCTTAATATATGTGTATTTAGACTTGTCAGGTTAACTTGTTCACTTAAAACTCTTCATAGGTCACAGAAGTCAATTTACTATGATAGATTGCTTACCCAGGGACATTTTTTTTACTGCATGGACAATAGTATCATCACAGCTTATAGAAACTAAGACAAAATATGGTATTTTAACATATGCATTTGGAGACTCCTTGCTAAGATGTGCATGTGAATCCATAAATATGAATCCTCATGTATATATAAATCCTCATCCTTATATAAAAAGTGTACTTATGTAAAAACTATGTTCTCCTATATAGTATCCCAGTTTATTGAAACTATAAGTAACTTATGTCTGCTTCTGCATTTCCCAATTTTTACAACTTAGAAAATTTAATGAGGAAGTAAAAAACTTGAGTAAAATTTTGTATTTAATTTTATTTGCCATATTTTTAAGTTGTGTATATCTCAGAAATATGTTTTTGTTATGTTACTTCAGAAAATATGAGATAAGCAGGCATCATAAAACAAGCTTCCTTTCTCAGCTAAGTCCTATAATTCATACCTAATTGCTAGATCAGCAGAGATTTAGTAAGCTACAATGTTAAGACACAGTTTTGCTTTGAACTTTGTTAATAGATAGTAAGTTTTTGGTTCATTTTAATAAGTAAAATTTGAGGATATTTTATGTTCAGGTGCATCACTACAGCTTTTAAAAATGAGCACATCGCTATCACAGAGTCATCATGCTATTTCCATACCTATGTGAATGAGAGTAAAGGGTATTTGATATTTCAGTATTCACTACATTAAAGAATAAGTTCATCTGTCCTTTGTCCTATTAAAAGTAGAGAGTGATTTCATAGGGGTAATACACATGTAGCAGTGCTACAAAAATCATACTGCTGCTGTAATCCGACAGGTTGAGCCACAGTAAGTTTCAGTAGTTTTTCGTAGCTTCGTTATTTTTTCTTCTGTCTGTCATTTCTTTGGTACACCCAAGAGAAAAGGCAAATTTTATTTCTGACAATAAATGTTGTTCATCTGATCTCCCTGATAAACTATGTAACACACCAGATTTTTAGAAACCACTTTTCAACATACTTTTTGGACCTCACAATCCCATATGAGGCCTTTGCACATATCTTTGTGCTCAGTTCTAGGGGATGCAAGTATCAGCTGTGCACATGGATCTGAAAAACTTTATGGCATCACAGAGTTGATCTGAATAATTCTAATTCCGTTTTTTTACATGCTTTTAATTTTCTAAGTCAGAAATCCCAAAATATCTGATATTTTTGATAAGCAAGTATTTCAAAGGTCAGTCACAGGCAATCCTCCCGAAGGCCTTCCTCTGTCACTCCAAAATAAAACACAGTGAATTAAATGCAGAGTAAACTTTATGTACTACATCCCTATGTATTTGGAGCATCTATATGAAAATCTCTGTGTTATGTTACTTATTAATTTTGGAAGTACACATATATAACTGGGACTAGGTCACTTTTAGTTTATGTGCGCATAGTTGTGGATTATTAAAAACTACATAAGCAGAATCAGTGTTTCTGAATTTTAATTATCTTGAATCACTTCAGACTAAAGATACTGTTTAATTAGTGATAAAAAAGATTGTCTCTCCCTTAACTTTTTTTAGTACTTGTATAAAATCTCTTTGGAGGAGAATTGCTCTCATTTATGCTAGTGGAAGACTTCTAACGATACTAGCAACTTTTGTCTTTCTAAATGACAGATTTCTCATTAAAAAAAGATGATAATCTAACAGTAAAAGTTACTTTATAATGAAAACGGGGTTTACCTTCCTGGGTAGGTGAACACAAAAGCTTTTCTACGCATGAGTGATTCCAGTGAGATGAGGTCGATGGCTCACTTCAATACAGTAAAGCAGGTGTGTAAGTGTTTTGAAGATGAGTTTATTGATTTGCTTAATAGATTCGGATAACATTTGCTAGCTCATTTTTCAGGTTTGACTTCATATGTGAACTTTTCCCTTCATTATGTAACTTTGGTTAAAAGGAGCTTGTTCTTCATTTAATGACCAGTATTTGAACTCTGGTCCATGAAATATTAGATTAAAAAAAAAAAAAAATAATAATGCTTTTGAACTTTCTCAAACTTTCTTATTATTTCATGTAAGCATCGGAGACCTCAATTTCTTCTTAGCAGTGTTTCCTCAGGTGATTGCAAGAATCACTAGGTCAGTTCCCTAAATCTCAGGAAAAGAATTTGACACCTTCAGTGCCCCCACTGAAGAGCATATGTACAGTAGCTAGATTGGTGCAACAAAGTAGTAATGGTAGTAATGGCTCCAAAGGCACCTTTATGGACTATCAGGTAAATAATTCTTATGCTAAGAAGGATTTACATGATACAAAGTAATGGTTCTGTCATGTCTGAAGTAAAAATCCACTTTTTAATGAACATCAAAGTAATGTTTTGCACTCTTAACGTCAGAGATACTATGGTAGTTAAAAAAAAACCACACATACCTTCTTCAAATAAAAGTTTATATTTAAATGTTTGAACAAAAGAAATGTTAAAATACTGTAAGTAGGCATCTACAGTACCACAAATGGAGAAATTTTTTTTAAATATACTTATTACTGTTCTCAAATATTTTCTTCCTTGCCATATTAGACTATGGTCAGTATAGGTATTTCCGTCATGTCTTCAAACAGCATTTTTGCGATGCAGTCCAGAAATAGATTGATCTGGGGAGTTGTGTGGGGGAAGTTGTTTGTTTTGTTTATTTTTTTCTACTGTATGATTTTATCCTACTTTGGGCAGAAGTTTGACACAATCTAACATACACAATCTAGATCTTGTTACAAAAGTAAGTCTGAAACTAAGAACAGTGGTCACAGAAATCTAAGGTTGCGGTTTTTGTGTTAATTTATTTTTTAGATATAATTCAATTTCTTGTGATAAAATATCTCCACAAAAAACTTTAATAAATTTCTCACATTTGGGGAAAAAAATATTATCTTCTCTAATTATGTGGTTAACTAAGCCTCTGTACAAGATATGGAAATTCACCAAAGTCTAAACAGAAAGAACTCCTATAGCGATACAAATGAAGAGACTGAGTACACATGACATTTTCATTGTATCTCTAACATTTTATAAAATTAAACACCATTTTGAAGTATGGGTCTGATGGGAATCATCCTATATATAAGCATTAGACATTTAGTGAACAAAGTGTAACTGAACACATAAATCACTCTAAATAACACGGACACTTGGTCAAAAGAAACATATATTTAAGGCTCAAGTGTATGGTCAAGCTACTTTATGGAGAGCTTTCCCATTATTTTTGTGAGAAACAGTACTGTCTACAAAAAGGGTTAAAGAAAATGCATTCTGTTGCATCTGCTTACTAAATCCCTTACTTTAGTAGAAATTCAAATTTTGTAAAGATTATTCGTTTTATTGATGCATATAATTATAATCACAAGCCATCTGCTGATTTGGCAGGCATGGTTAAAATTCTCTAACTCTCATAACCTTTCAAGTACAGTGCCCTTGGGACTCTATTTCACTTTTATATTTTGGAAAACATGTAGGGACAAACAAGAGAGGTCATCTGCCGAAAGTCAGACCTGTAAAACATTAAAAGAATAAAGATCATGGTGACTGCTCTTGTTTTAGTAATAAAGAAAGTATTTTCTTTTTTTTTTCTGACTTCAGGAAGGATTATGCTGGTTTCCATCACGCACTTTGGGAATTTTAATTTTTTCTAGGGATTAAAGCTCTCTCCTAGCACTCCTGGGATCTGGGTTCCAAGTCTAAACTAAAAGAACAAATATTGTTCAGTTTGGTTGCCACAGGTGAATTAAACATATTTGACCTTGGCCTTAATTTTTCTTTTTACACAATTCCCATTACATTCCTATTTGAAATGTTTTAACTAACAGTCTTC